CCAAAAAAAAAAAAAAAAAAAATGGAAGAGACATCCAGGGGCAGGTGGTGAAGGGAGGCATCAGTGGGTGTCCAGAGGTCAGTCCCGGCTCTGGTTGCCCTGAGCCTCCCATCCACTGGCCCCGTTGGCCCAGCCCCTCACCCTGCTCCCGGCTCATGTGCTCTGGCTCCTCTTCCATCCTCTCTAGTCCCTTTAGGTAGCTCTGCAGAAGTCTGTCAGAAAAGTGGAAAATCAGCCCACGAGAGGCCAGTCTGCAGCCCAGGCCTGACCTACTCACTGAAGGCCCCCAGGCCAGCCCACTCACCGGAGCTGCTCCTGGCCTGGCTGGAAGGGGTTGGGCAGGAGGTGATGCTGCACTTCAGGATCCAGCCTGGAGGAGGGAGGGAAGGACCAGCCTTGCAAGGAGCTTCCCTGAGGGCCCAGCCTACCAGCCTACCACCCCCAATCTCCTGGCAGAGTTCTCTCCCCAGACCCAAAGGGAGTTCCTCCCCCAAATTCCCAAAAACCTTGCACGGAGGCCCTCTGGTCTCTTGGAAGCAGAACCTTACTCCTTCAGACTCTTTTTGTGCCTGTCTAACTTAGACTTTAAGTGAAAACCTAAATAAAACATCAGGTTGGGTAGAGGCCTCATGAGGCCACACCTAGTAGACACAATTTGGAGACCGAAGAAAACAGTCAGGCAAGTGGCAGGACAGTATGGTTCAGGGCAACCCCTCTCCTTCAATGCTGAGAGCCGAGGGGCGGGTCTCCGGCTGAGCCTGGCAGCACTGCCCGGTTTTATACAAACCTAATTTGCTCCATGACATAAAATTGACTCTTACTTTTTCAAGCAGAGGGTATATATGTTGGTTTGGGGTTTCAATCTGCTCAGGGTCTCTTTGTCAGTCTTTAAAACTCAAAATGTGCTCCCAGTTCTGGGCAGGGCTGCCTGTTTGCCCAAATCAATGCAGACCTGAGATGCCGGCGAGCCAGCAGGAGTTGCCACAGCAACCGTTGTCACTGCTGCCAGCCCTTGTGGCTCTGCCTTGTCTGTCTCTCCTCCTTCCCAGCATACCCGCTGCCCAGTTTTAATAAAACCTCCAGAAAGGCATTCAAGTAAAATAGAAATGATACGCTGATGATCTCTGTTTCTTTGGAGTTCCCACTCTAAGGTCTTTGTAAGAGGATGGCAGCGCCTTCCCTGGCCCGTAGCTTCTTCCCTATGCTTCATGCCGCACTGGAGCTGAGCTCCCGCTTTCCCAATGGGTCCAGCATTGAGGGCCCACTTTGTGGCACTCTGACAGGCACAAGGCAGGAGGTTGGGCTAAGGGGATACAGAGATCAGGGAGCCTACATTCCAGACGGCTGCCTCCCAGAGGGGCCCATCACACCCTTGGATTCTCCAGAGACTCTCCCTGTTCCCAGCCCTCAGCCCTGCCCCCCAACTCCATTTACCTTGTGACTCCATCCCTGGGAGCAGCATGACCCAGGGGTAGCAACAGCATTAACACTCTCATCACCAAAGGAAACATCCTTCCTGGAACTGGAACTAGGAACAGAATTAGGGGGTCAGGGGAAAAGGGGTATCTGCCACAGTGTGGGGGATCGGTTGGGTTAGACAGAAACACCTTTTCTCCCTGTCTCTACATGTGGCCCAGGAAAGCCTCACACATGGACATCAGTGATCCCCCACAGAACCTTGCTGAAAGCAAATCTTACTCCAGCTGTAGAACACAAGGCACATAAAAGCAGACCTGCTGTGGTGGAAGCAGCGCTGGGGGCAGGAGCCCCTCCCACACCCCATTCCCTTTGTTCCTGTCACCCCTGAGGTGCACAGGGAAGTGCTGCTTAAGTATGTCTGATCTAGTTCTGCCCGTTCATTTTACAGATGGAAAGGGGCGCAGAGAGTTAAGGAAAAGACCAGATTCTCCAAGAGTTCCATAACCCTAATAAGGTTTAGAGCCACTGTTAGGCTGGACATCAGTTTCCTGAGAGATGAGGGGTACAGCAGGTGAGCATCTGGCTAACAGGAAGATAAACAAAAATCCTGCCTAGAGGAAGAAGCAGCAAAACATGAAAGTCCACAAGAAAGTGAAGCTACTGAGAGTCACAGAACCTCTCTTCGTTTTTCTATGCACACGATTGGCCCCATCATATATAGTGAATACCCGCAGTGTGTTGGTGTCTCTAAGCCCCAGCAGCCAAAAGGATACTGAAGCCACAGCTACCCTAATGTTGTTCACCAATATTGGCTGGCAAATTAGATCCTTGGGTTTTAGTTGTGCCCAGGAGAGAAGACAAGGACTTGGGCCCATTCAAGGTAGGCAGTTGGCAATGAGATCTCTACATCAATGTGAAGCCCTTAGAGGGACACAGCCCAGCGAAAGGGTGATACAGAAAAACATCCAGATCTCCATATGTGTGCTTTTGTACTCTGAGGGTTTCTTGCCAACTCAATGCTTTTGATAAGATACTTTCTATTTTTATCCAACGTTGTAGTTACTTTCATTGAGTTGGCAAGAAGTTCTCAGAGTACAAAATTACAGTGAAGACAGGAATCTGGGGGAAAAGCAAGTGTGACATTAGCTTTTGCTTTAAGAGTATCTGTCAAAACAAACCAAACCCAGGTGAACTTGAACTGTGAGTTTGGGTGCTGTGTGCAAGAGAGGAACCAGAGATAAAGCCTGGGCCCACCCAATATGAAGAGACGAATATGAGAATACTTCAAAAAGTTGATGGAAAAATAGAATTAAAAGAACATTCATTGGGGAAAAGGTTGCCTTTTCAATAAATGGTGCTGGGAAAACTAGACATCCATATGTAGAAGAATGAAACTAGAACCCGTACCTCTCGCCATATACCAAAATCAACTCAAAATGCATTAAATAATTAAATATACATCTTGAAACTATAAAATTCCTGAAAGAAAACATAGGGGAAACACTTCAGGAAGTAGGACTGGGCAACCACTTTATGAATACAATCCCAAAAGCACAGGCAACAAAAGGAAAAATAAACAAATGGGATTATATCAAATAAAATGCTTCTGCACAGCAAAAGAAACAATAAACAGAGTGAAAAGACAACCTACAGAGTGGGAAAAAATATTTGCGAAGTATGCATCCGACAAAGGATTGATATCCAGAATACAAGGAACTCAAACAACTTAACAGTAAAAAAACAAGTAACCCAATTAAAAAATGGGCATAGGAGCTGAATAGACATTTCTCAAAGGAAGATATACGAATGACCAACAGACACATGAAAAAATGCTCAACATCACTCAGCATCTGGGAAATGCAAATCAATACCACATTGAGATATCCTTTCACTGCAGTTAGACTAGCTGTTACCAAAAAGACAGAGAATAACAAGTGCTGGCGAGGATGCGGGGAAAGGGGAACACTCCTACACTGTTGGTGGGACTGTACAATGGTGCAGCCATTATGGAAAATGGTATGGAGGTTCCTCAGACAACTACAGATAGAATTGCCATATGATCCAGCTATTCCACTGCTGGGTATATACCCAAAGGAATGGAAATCATCATGTCAAAGGGATACCTGCACTCCCATGTTTATTGCAGCACTATTTACAATAGACAAGCATTGGAACCAACTTAAATGTCTATCATCAGATGACTGGATGAGGAAAATGTGGTATATTTATACAATGGAACACTACTCTGCTACAAAAAAGAATGAAATATTGCCATTCGTGGCAACATGGATGAACTTAGAGAAAATTATGTTAAGTGAAATAAGTCAGGCACAGAAAGAAAAATACTACATGTCCTCATTTATATGTGGGGCTAATAAAAAATAAATAAGCAAATAAAAAAAGAAAGAAGGATACAACAATCACAACAATACATTGAACATTTAAAAGAAAACAGAACTGAGGTTACCAGAGATAGGAAAGGAAGAGGGGGATGGGGGAAAGGGAGGAACTGGTAAAGGGCCACAAAAATCAATTACATTGTATAATGAAGAATATACTAATTATCCTGATTTGATCATCACATTTTGCACACAGGTATTGATATTCAATGCTGTACCCCACAGATATATGCAATCAACTATGTTCCAATAACAAATAAATTAATTAATAAATAAAATACGAATCTTTCCATGAACTTTTTGAAATACCCTCATAGTAGATTCCCCACATAAAGTTGGGATTCCAAGCAGCTATACTCTCAATATAAGTGTGAACAGAAAGTATATTTGCCATGAAGGGCAGCAAAAAATCTTGCCTATCTTGGTGCTGGGTAGAAGGGAGAAAAAAAATCTTCTTGTGAATCTGTAACAAGCCCTCTCTAATGTGGGTTTGAGGCCTGAATTAATGCTACCAGTATGGTTCAGAAAACCTAAAGAAGATTACTTACTATGAAATGGTACCTATTTGACAGATTCCCCACTTGACTGACAGAGGAAAACATACACTTTCTCTGGAAGAACTCAACTCCAATCCAGGCCTCAAAGAATTTCTACCGGGCTGGCCAGTTAGCTGAGTTTGTTAGAGTGTGGTGCTGAGAACACCAAGGTCAAGGGTTTGATCCCTGTACAGGCCAGCTGCCAAAAAAGGAAAAAAAGAATTTCCATAGGTAAAGTTTCAAGGAACATGAACTCACAGCCAAAAAGTCATAAACATACAAGGAAATAAGGCACCGTGAGTAAGAGCCAGCAGAAGAGTAACAGGCACAACTAGACTTGTAAGAATGACAGATATTTAATAGGTTTTAAGAAATTTAAAGGGACGCTTGAAACTATGAGAAAGAAATAAGAGAGCATAAAAAATGACCAAGAAGATTTGAAGAAGCAAATCTAACTTTTAGAAATAAAAGACTGATTTAAAAAATGCAATGGGTGAGTTAAATAGATTAGACACAGCCAATATGAAAATTAATGAACTGGAAAATAGAGTTGAATAAATTATCCAGAATGCATTCATTGAGTCAAAGACATAGAAAATATAAAACAAAGAATGTTCAGTGAAATGAAGGATGGAGGAGATAATACTTAAACTGGATAAAAGCAGTATTTGAAGAAATAACAGTCAAATACTTTTCCAGTAGGTTGCAAAACACTAGTGTTCCAATCCAGGAAGCCCAACAATCCCACACAGATTAAATAAACAAAAAAATACACCTAGACCTATTGGTCTGAAACTATAGAACACCAAGAAAAAGAAAAGATGGTAAAAGCAGTCAGAAAGAAAAGACAAATCATCTCAGGGGAAAAGTAATTAGATTGACAGCAGATTTCTCCACAGCAACAGTGATATAGTAATATAGTATTTCAATGTGTTCAGAGAGGGGGAAAAATTGCCATTCAAAAATTCTATTCTCAGGGCCAGCCCGGTGGCGCACTGCTACAGTGCGCTGCTTGGGAGTGCGGTGGCGCTCCCGCCGAGGGTTC